TGTATATGTGCTGTATCTAACCTGGAGTATCAAAATGTTCGGTAATGTCCCTACGCCTTCAAGTCATGGCAACCAGAAATTATTTTGGTCCCTGCGATGTGGTGGTGCTTGTGAATTATTGCCCAACAAAGTTTTGATATGATAAACACGCGCTCGGGCGGGAGTTAATTTGCTGCCCCCCCCCCCCCCGAAGGTTTTTACCGGAATGGTTTCCAAACGGTGCTGCGTAGCCGCAGTAAATTTTGCATAACGGTAGAAAATGGAACAGCGGAGCTTTTCGTACCAAACGTTTTGATGCATCTTGTAAGGTCGCTAACCTACGCCAGGTCAAAATCAGGCCGTGGATTCAGCGAGAGCAATTTCCAGGGAACTGTTCAATCTGGTGCGGCAGCGGAGCGTTAGACGAATCCAGACATCTGTGCGATAGTTTCTTACGCAACACAACAATTGAATTCACAATTTTCCTTTACATAGGGTCAGGTATGAAGTTCAGCCCACGATCAAAACCAACCTGCTTTTTTACTGGAGACCCCACAGTATGGGGTAAAGTATGGTTTCCATATTGAATGTATCAATAGCAGGAGCCGCATCGTGCATCTTCCATGGACTTCTAGGTCAGAATAGGGAAATACCTTGAAATACCCCTGTTCAACATTTAGTTTTAAGATCCTGTCGCATAGTATAACACGACGTTTATTCCAATGCAAAAATCAATGCCGTCTTGTATAATTATGGTCACCATGACCTTCTTAAGATCAAACAAGCTCAGTGTCCTAAGGTTCACGGCGGTTATTTGGGAATGTCCGCGGCCCTTTGGACACCAATCTGGAGTATGACCCTACATGGCCTTATTTGATCAGAAGATCATGACCTAGAAACCTCATATTTGAACACAACTTAGCCATACAGGTCGAGGTACCCTGCGAATTTGATGTTTTTAACTCTCAGTTTTTGAGATCACCCGGGGGCTCAACTTGATCCCCACCCAACCGAAAGGGTAATCAACCGGCCACCCGGGCCCGTATCAATAAAATGATGAGCCTTCTTTGCCATGCATACCTACATTGCCAACAGGCAACACGCTGTGCATCTTAACCCTCGCCCCCATATGCCGTTTTTCATAACGCAGATTGATTTGAGGGCGATGCGACGCTCCCCCTATCGTTTTCAAACTCATAAAAGTGGGGCTGGGCGGAGAACACTAGTGAATTGATCTCAACTTGTTCTCGGCACTATTTTTTTCGTTCCTGGATCAATGATTGATCCCCTTGCGCTGGGTCAAATGTCACCTTTACTTGGGAATCGTATTTTCACTTTTACAACATCATAATTATGTATAAAATATGCAACATGATGATAAGTTCTTTATCTAGAAAATATGATCCTGAATACGTCACTTTTGCTTGCGTTATCGTGCCAAGCACAACATTTATCGAGAACCTAGCGCTGACCGTTTTTTTGTTTGTTTTGAAATTGTACTCATGAACGCCAGATATGAACCGTCTGCCGTCTGCCGTCTGCCGTCTGCCGTCTGCCGTCTGCGTCGTTGCCGTCGGCCGCTCCCATTACCCTGTCTCAACGTTCTCTCTCTCGCGTCTCATCCATCTTCTTCTCGCTCTCTCTCTCTCTTTTCTTCCCTCTACCTCTCTCTTCTCTCCTCTCTCTATCCTCTACTCTCTCTCTCTCTCTCTCTCTCCTCTCTCTCTTCTCTTTCTCCCTCTCTCTCTCGCCTCTTCGCTCTCTCTCTCTCTTTCTCTCTCTCCCTCTCTCTCTCTCCTCTTCTCATCTCTCTCTCTCTCCTCTTCTTCTCTCTCTCTCTCTCTCCTCTCTCTCTCTCTCTCTCTCCTCTCTCTCTCCTCTCTCTCCTCTCTCTCTCTCTCTCTCTCTCTCTCTCTTCTCTCTCCTCTCTCTTCTCTCCTCTCTCTCTCTCTCTCCTCTCTCTCTTCTCTTCTCTCTCTCTCTCTATCCTCTCTCTCTCTCCTCTCTCTCTCCTCTCTCTCTCTCTCTCTCTCTCTCTCTCTTCTCTCTCTCTCTCTCTCTCTCTCTCTCTCTCTCTCTCTCTCTCTCTCTCTCTCTCTCTTCTCTCTCTCTCTCTATACTCTCTCTCTCTCTCTCTCTCTCTCTCTCTCTCTCTCTCTCTCTCTCTCTCTCTCTCTCTCTCTCTCTCTCTCTCTCTCTCTCTCTCTCTCTCTCTCTCTCTCTCTCTCTCTCTCTCTCTCTCTCTCTCTCTCTCTCTCTCTCTCTCTCGGAATAACCTTTGAATGACTGTTATTATGGTGTCGTGGGGACCTGGGTGACCTTGAAATAGTCCCCCCCCCCCGAAATCATCTGCACATGTTCGCGGGCGTGCAGCTTAGAAATCAAAAGAGTTTTAATGCGTCTTAGGAAAGGTAGAGCTATGATCCGAACCGAATGATCTTCAAGATGGCTATTTCAGTTCAAACCTCGTAGGAGTGTGGAACATTCCCTCTAATGCAACAATTTTGACCCGCCGTGCCCGTTCGGCGACGGGCGCGGAGCGGGCGCAGCGAAGGTTTATCACGGCGAGGGATTATCACACACTGGTTCGTGGAACCTTCTTGTACTTTATCGATGGAAATGACGAAATAAATAAAATTAAAGATACCTAAATGAACCACATTTGCCCATTACCATTCATAACCATAAATATAGAAGCGGATTGGTCCGGACCCTTCCCTTAAATTTTCTTGCTCTGGTAACTTCAGACCACATTCGACTAAGAAATCTGGGAAAAGCGGATTCGGAGGTCAATTGGACCTGGATTAACCGGATTGGGCTGGGCCAGATCTTGCATATTTGATTCGTTAGGTGCAGTAGTGGACAGTGAAAAACTAAGCGGTATATTCCACATTTTAGAATATTGAAGCAAGCATCGAATGTTATAATACATGCTTAACATAAGTATTAGTGCATTTTAAGGGGGAAAAGACTTCTGGGCAACAAAATGCCCTATCAAGTAAAGTTATCTACAGTATGTCCTTTTTATAGCGTGATTGTACCTTGCAAATCAGTGACTGAGAGCCAACAGACATTCGTCATGTCTGGAAATCGTGCTCCCGAACTTAAAATATGAACTACTTGACAATTATGTTTTAATTGACCTCATTATAGCATGTGCACATCTGCGGGGTCATGTAGCTCAGAAACGGAGGGGTTTCAGATCTTAAAGGGAGCATTTCACATTTGCATCGGGTTTTGAAGTGGCATGGCCATTTTGAAGATTATTCGGTGCAGTTCACAGCCCTGCCCTTCTTAAGACCTGAAACCGTTCGTGTAATGTGGAGCATTCTTGGCTATACGCTCGAAAATATGTGCATGCTATTTTGTGGAGACTATTGCAAGGCCAATGAGGCACGCATGGCACCATAGCAGCGGCGTCCAAATATGGCTGCCCCACAGGCCATACCTGGTTCAAGGCCGGGAACAGCATCATTTTCGAGCGGCTCAGCTCTAGCGTCCGTTGTTCACTTTCCAAACATCATGGATTTGAATTGGCTATACGTCATCGTTGAGCAATCTGTGGAAGCTTTAATCACGAACACGCCATAACTGAGTATGTAAGTACAAGTGAACTTCTTAAACTCAAGGCTAAACATCCAAGAACGCGATGAGGTAGAGCTGAAACCCGAGCACATTACGATAATTGGCTCAGAAAACACTCTTATCCTGTGCTGCCACCATTTGGCGGGTCTGAAGCGCTACAAGTGAGTGCAAGGTTGGCAAACGTGCACAGATAGTTTGGCAGCACTTAAACGTCACACAAATGTTTCATGACGCAATCAAACAGTGGGGTCTTGAGAAGGATATTTATTAAATAGAGAAACTGCGATGTCTAGCGCTGCCTATCCCAGTTTAAAGTATACTGATAGCCATAAGTGGGCTTGTTTCTTCACACCTGGTTGCTTGAGTATCTCCTAATGTGGAGCATTCCCCTTCACCACATGTATGAGGTTAAAGTTTGAGGTGAATCAAATCGGATCATTTCGATTGAGCTTAAAATTTGTGAACACATAAACCATGACCTAAGCATTTGAGAACCTCTAAAGCTGAGGTGTACGTAGAAAAATTTCCAAGCGGACCAACGTTCGGAGCTAGGTAGGCATGTAATGGCCTGGTATGCTTGTGGTTTCTTATGTACCTTCCCTGCTACTTACGGTTTCGGGGTGTTTGAATGAATCCCGGGAAACAAACTTTTAGGAGAGTTGAGAGCGTGACACAAATAATGTCCATCCGGTACCCACTTAGTGACCTTGCAGTTTGGTGCACAAATCTAGAAAGATTTTGTATGCTCCTGCTCATCTTGGGCTTCCAAGTGTTTTGGTTATGATCTATGAGTGTACAATTTTGTAGGTGAATCGAAGGGGTCCTCTCTGATGGACTTTTAGCCTTTACCCATAATATCAAAAACTTTTGGATGCCCGTCATGTCGTTAAGGTTTCAATTGCCTGAGTCATGTTGCATGAGTTTGCACATTTAGAGCTCAAAGAAAAGGGTCAGCTCGGATTTATCTTGAACTTTTACCTATGATATCTCTAAAGTTTGGTACGTGGAATATAGCTTTTCTGATCTTGACATGCATACGCCAAATACTATAAGTCCATCAACTTTCACCCGCGTCGTAAGATCCACAACATCGAGATACAACTCGATATAAATACGCCGCCAGTTTGGTAAACGTGGGGGACGCCGTCGCCGCCTGAGAGGATAGGCGCCTTCTTCCCTTGGGCAGAGAGCAAATGTTGGTTGCTGTTGCCACGTGGATCTACTATTCCCCACACCGTTATCGTCTTTCCTGCGTGTTTATTCATTATTGTGTCATATGTTATTACATATATTATAGTTAATATATCATATTATTTATATGCTTTGTTCATATATTACAACACGTGAAGGAAACATTAGGACAGTAATATCATCGAGTGACGCTCCAAAATGACTGCGCCCCCTTCCATGTTGTATAGCCTGGTTTGTGTCGACAGATGGGGCTGTCGGATGCCAACGCGGTGCAGCTGCGTCGCCTGACTCCCGAAGCCACGGACAGCTACATGTGCGAGGTGATCTCCGAGACACCAGAGTTCTGGACGGACCATCGGCGGCGCAATCTCACCGTCGTCGGTAGGTCCGTGGATGCAGCGGCAGCTCTGTCCCACGAAACGTTACGTTTTGCTTGTTTGTGTTTGTGTTTGTGTGACAGAGCATGAAACATTGCACTGGATGGCCTTCATTGACGGGGTTAAACCTGCAGGTAACCATACCAACGGGTAAGTCGACCGATTGGTATATATTTTTTAAAGAAATTCGGTTACAGGTGTACGCAAGAACACAAGAACACACCGTTATGGACACGCGAGTCAGCATTACAAACCGTGTATGCTATAATGTAAGCTTTGGCGCCGTCAGGCCGCATGGAATGCTTCACAAAACCAACATGGCATATGAGCGAGAAACATCAACTTCGTAAAAACCGTGCCGTTTACCCACATATAAATGCAAACACTGAGTGAATATCAGGCCATTTAGGAACCAGCACCCATACGGCACGTCCACTCAACGTACGCAATACACATGCTGGCCCCCACCGAAATGCGCTGGCAGCACAGCCGCACCGCAGCGAGCTTTTTTTACCCTCACTTGCGTTTCCTACCATCTCCCCAGAGGTGACAGCACGGGCTGAAGTATTCACTGAGCTAAATATCATGTGCTCGTGTTTTGGCCTTTTCTCGTGACGTTTCTGCAATCGCACATTACGCGGAGTGCAAGATGTTGACCTGGATTTACATTCTCGGCTATAGGGTTTTTTTCCAAGGGATTCGATTACAAGTCTTAGTTCTGTAATGGCTAGGAATTGTGTAATTTCTTGTATTATGTAGCACAAAATGTGATTCGTGTTGTACCTTGCGTCAATGTACCATAGGGGATGAGAGCTAATTGACAATATATGTGGAAATATATCTTTTATATCTCGAAATCGTGCCTACAAACATCAGATATGAACGACTCGGCAACCATTATTTTTTTACCTTGAACACCGGTTTTGCCAACCATATGGGCAGCGGATGTGAAGTAAAACGCTACTGCGTATTGAAGGGAGTGTTTCACATCTATATGGGGTTTTGAACTGAAATAGCCATCTTGAAATCATTCCGTGAAGTTCTCGGCTCTGACCTTCTTAAGACCGCCTCTTCAGTTTCTGAGGTACATGATAGCGAAGGTGTGCAAAATATTTCGTGGAGACTATTTCAAGATCAACCAGGCATCCACGACGTTATGATAACGTCATTCGAACGCATCCAACGTCCGTCGAACATCCAACGTGCATTTCCGGACATTTTAAAGGGAGTGTTCCACATCTGTATGGGGTTTTGGGTCAGTGTCTTAGAATTGCCGACTTTGGGTGTAAACTAGTACCCTAACACCCTAAAACTTACGTTGCTTCTCGAAAAGAGAGATTGTTTTGTGGAGCATGCCCATTATCGTCCTTGACATAGGTCCACTTTTTCTGAAGTCAACAAGCATACACAAATGAACTGAATAAAAATGCAAGTTTAAACCAGCCAAAAATAACATTTATCATGTTTTATTACAAGTGCTGCTGTCAACAGATAGGTGAGCTGAGATGATGTTCAACATATGGGCTACTCTAATTAAGGAGTAAGGTTAAGTCGGTTAAATGCATGGCAAGTGGCAATAAGAATTGTGCAAGAATCAGTAACTCACAACTGCTGCTGTGATGCAAACAGGCTAGACAGGGTGAGATGAAGTAAGGCTCTTTAGGTTAGGCATCGTTACGCTACTTTAATGGAAATAAGCATTGGTATTTTGTAAGAAACAGTGACAAAATGTTTGTTTTCCCTGACCCCAACTTAACAGAATCCATAGGTATGGCCATTGCGTTCAACATGGTGATGGGCTGATGTGTTGTAGTCGAAGGTCGTTTTTTTGTTTGAGCGTTTTATGCTTGCTGAATTTTGTTCTTGTTTTTTGTTATTGAATTTCCTTTGCTTTGTTTTGTGTTAAAAGTGTCGTGGAAGGGAAGTGCAAAGTGCAGCATCAAATTGCTGGTGTTAATAAGTTTGTATGCTCATTGTCCTGTCATGAACTTACGATGCTTAAGGTATTCTGTTTTACTTTAATGACCTAAGATGTTAAAAAAACAGGACAGTTTTGTCAGGCTTCTGATATCACGTCCATGCCAATTTGAAATACATGTCTTTGTTGCTGAAGCATCAGTCACAAGATCACAAGTTCCATCTTTTGCGAGTTGATTTTTTCACTCCTGCACGGTCTTTTTGCGGCGGAATTTTTCATCTCCACCCTAGTTCAAAAGCGATTCTAGCTCCCTGTTTTGGACTGAAATAGCCAACTTAAAGATGAATCGGTGGAGTTCTTGCTCTTCTAAAGACCTAAACCCGTCTAGATGCTGGGCCACAGTTCGTTAAGACGTGCAGGCTGTTTCGGAGAGGTTGTTAATACGCGCTAGGGTGGGGGATCAAATTGACTCCCCAAGGTTTTTCTGGAACGGTTTCCGAACGGCGCGGCGTAGCCGCGCCAAATTTTGCATAGCTGTAGACAATTGAAAAGCGGACCGTTTGTTAAAGAATTTATATCTACCTCGTCAAGTCGCTGACCTGTGACCTCTGTTTTGACCTATAGCAGGTCAAAGTCAGGCCACGGTATCAGCGAAGTCAATTTCTAGGGAATCGTTCAATGTGATGCAACAACGGAGTGTTATATGAAAGCATCCATCTCTAAAACTCTTTCTTAGACAACATAACAATTAAATGAGCAAATTGCGTTGACCTAAGGTCAGGTATGAAGGCTGACCAAGGTCAAAAATAATCTGTTTTATTATTCTAGGGCTTGCTGTATGGGATAGATTCTGGTGCTTATTTCGAACTTATTGACAGCAGGAACCGCATTCTACATCTTACATGGACTTCTTGGGGGGTGAGAGAAGGTCACTGGCCTAGAATGACCCAGGTCAACCTTTTGGTTTTAGGAGCATACTGCGTAGCGTAAACTTTGTCGCCTATTAAAATACAAAACTCAGAGCGGTCTTGTATGGTTTTGGTCACCATGACCTTCAGAAGGTCAAATAAGGTCACTGACCTTAAATGAGCATCTGATATTTTGCTTGGAAACAGTTATGTAGGTTCTGGCGGCACTCTGAAGACCAACCTGGAATTTGACCTTGTTTGACCTTATTTTACCCGAAGATCACACTTTGATGTAAGTGAATTCGCGTATAGGTTAACATACCCCGTGAATTTGGTGTATCTAGCTCTCATAGCTCTTGAGATCTCAGGGGGGTAAAATTGACCCGCCCCCCCCCCCCCCAACCCACCCGAGCGAACAGTATCCAGCCGGCCATCCGGGCGCGTGTTAAGGTCATTCAGGCACGTACGGCGCCATAACGCCATTTAAATGCCGTCATTCAATTAGCTATGCGGCGATCAAGGCCAAGAAAACGATAATTGTCTAGAAGTCTATGTCTGACGTTCGTGAACACGATTTCCAGGTACAATGACCATCCATTGGCTCTCAATTAATGTTGTGCAAGGTACGATGACGTAATCAAATAACAGCGTATTGAGGAGCATGTTTACTGAGCCTAGAAATAATTTTGACCAGCGAAGCCTTTTTGGTTTGAAATTATACCGAGATTTATAACTGAGGTCATCTCACCATATCTCAAGTTTGCCTTCATATCTTCTTATGTGGAACATTCCCATAAGAATATGACATATATAAATATATGAAGGTGATACACCTATTGAGAGGGCTCAGTGCATCTGCCTAAAGCAGTATAGTTTGAATTTCGTCCAAACGTGTATTATTGTATACTTTATATGGTATACTCGTGTACCCATGATTCATATATCGTACACTCTTGATTCATATATTTTTGGGAGGTGTGAGGCCTACGCCGGCGATACCAATCAGCCGTCATTACATCAAACAAAATCCCAACCTAGGCTTCCTCTCCACAAAAAATCCTCAATCCTAGTTCATGATAGTTACCAAAAGATCCCCACTTTCAGATTGTTTGCCATCTTCAAGGGAATGTTCCACAATTGAAGATATGGAAACAGGCTTCAGACGTCGTGAAACAAGCTCATTATATCTGTTGTTATGCTTGTTACTGGAAAAGACCGCATGGCACCGCATGGCAAACGGAACAGCAAGATTTGGATGGCGTTATAATGGCGTCTTGAATGCCAGGGTGACCTTAAAAGTCATTCTGAAAGAGGCTGCACACCTTCGCATGTGTGTAGCTCAGAAATTGAAGGAACATAAGCCTTTAAAATGCATAGGTATGAATCTTACCGAATAGCATAGATGCCTGGGTGACCTTGAAATAGTCTGCCCGAGGTAGGCTACCCATGTTTGCGGGCGTGCAGATCAGAAACTAGGGGGTATATGTGTTTAAATGGGTATGGCTATAAACTTACTGAATGACTTTCAAGATCGCTCTTTCAGTTCAAACTCCCTTTAAGCTGGCATTTGCTGTTACTGTTTTGTGTCTGTATCATAAAGGTTCGGTAATTCTTCATTTATCCAAAGACTGCCAAGTTTTCTCAGTTTTTCTTCTGTCCTCAAACTTTAATCTTGCAGTTTACCTTAGACGCTCGTTTGTAATACACTATAGAGTAAACTGTGTTGGTATGGTGATTACAGCAGTCCAAAAAGTAATGAGAAGTTTTCTCCTTGGTTATATGGTTCATTTAATGTTAAAGGAGCGTCGCTTAGCATTCTCAACAGCTGCTTTGGCTCTGAAGCTTGATATAGTCACAGCCAAGTCTGTCAACACATTCTCTTCCCATGATAATGCATAGATCTCTCACAAGTTGTGCCAGCATGTGGCAATTTGTGTAGCCCTCGCCCTGATAGGGGGTCGATGTCACCTTCCTCCTCCATTTTTGTTTTGTTTGAGGATACCTGCGGTGTGTAGTGCAATCCCGGCCAAGTTTCTAGTAGGCTATGGGATATTCATTATGCACGTTTTTGACGCAAAAATGTGTTCCTGGCCCTTCTGATTTCCGAGCCGCAGTGTTTTTTTTTTTTTAAGATCTCTGCAAGGTGGTTAACGACAGGTACGGACGATGGGCGGCAAC